GTTTCATTATTATTATCTTTTAGAAAATAGTTTAGCTCCTCTTTCAGTTTATTAATATACTCTTCTTCGTTTACAATTTGGTTGTTTAGTGTCCATCTTTTTTTTATTCGTCTCCTATCTCTCCAAATTAGCTGTATTGGGTTATGATCAGCCCATTCATTCGGTAGGATTTTGATTTCTTTTATTTCATTAGCCAAGTCCAAATCCATCCAAGCCATATCTATTCTGGTCCAAGTCTTATGTGGGTTAGAATAGTATGTAAATTGTTTTCCTTCAAGATTCCGTTCCCTCCATAGATCTTTTAAATTTAGCTCTCTCAACATTTCCTTACATGCCGCAGAAAGTTCCCTTTTCCCCTTCTTGTTTTTCCCCATATTACTATGGTCTTTCTGGTAGTCTGCAATGGAGTTAAAATCGCCAATCAAGCAAATGTTTCTTTTTTCAAAGCCTACTATTTTTTGGTGAAGGTGTTTAAAAAATTTCCCCTGGTCATCATTTGGGGCATAGATTGCTACAAGTAAAAATGTGATGTGGTTTATCCAAACTTGTATAACCAGAGTTCTTCCTTCGGGATCCGACCAGATTAATTCTGCCTTTACATCTTGTTTTACGTAAATTGCAATTCCTTTTTTCTTGTGTTTGTCGGCCGGTGCTGTAAAAAGTTTACCTAATTTTGGACAAATTAGATGTCTTTCGTCATTTTTCGAAATATGTGTCTCTTGAAGACATATTATATCTGCGTTATGTTGAATAAGTTTTGAGAATATCCTTTTTCTTTTTGATAATGAATTTAATCCGTTTATATTGATGGAGAGCAACTTCTTCCCCTCCACCATTTATCTACTTCTGCTTAGATTTTTGCCTAGTAATGATTCGGTTCTCTTGTTGTTGTTGTTGTGGGATTTGCTCTTCTCTCCCATGTTGTGGATTATCACTTCCTGAAATTGGAGAAAGTCGTTCCTTTTGGGTTCTGTGATAATATCGGACCTCCTGTGGTCTTGTTTTAGGTTCTTCTTTGGTGGGTTGACTATTCTTATCTGTGAGCTGTTGATGAAAAACTTGGGCCTGTTCTATCGATTCTATTTTGATTTTCCTCTCTTTCCATGTAATTAACATCCCTTCCGGGATTAACCATTTAAAATGGATTCCTTCTTTATTTAAATCATTAGCTAAAAATTTATAATCTTGTCTTATCATCCTCACTCTCTTTGGAATTTGTTTTAAAATCCTAATTTCTCTGCCTTTATATGATATTGTTTCCTCCCTAGACATTTTCAAAATTAAATCCCTCAGACATCTCCTAGAGAAGCGGATATGAATTTCTCTTGGACAGTTGTTACGCCTGGCGTAGCTTGTGCTAACCCTATATACCTCATCAAACTCTTTAATTAGATCATCTTTTTCCTTTCCTAGCCATTCAGCCAATATTTCTGCCATCAAATGTTCCAATTCTTCATTTTTGGCTTCCGCCACAATCTGGAATCTTAAATACGCCATTGCTTTGTCCATCTCGAGGTGGACCAGAGAGTCTTCCGTTTCTCTAAGTACATTTTTAAATTCCTCATCCATCCTTTCAAAGTTAGTCTCCATGCGTGTTGTTCTACTCTCTATATCTTTTATTTTCACTTCGTTTCTCTCCATGGCCTGCTGTAGAGACCCTATCTTACCCTCCACCTTCGATATATCCGCTTTCATTTCAGCCTTCAGTTTCCCCATCTCATCTTTCAATTCGCTTATATCTGCTCTAGTTTCTTTGTGATTTTTAATCATCATTTCTTGCATTTTAGATATAGCTTCCTGCAAGGCTAATATGGAAGTTTGTATATTAATATTGGGGACATTGGGCTGCTTTTCCCCTATTAAAGACTCCTCGATAGTTTTTTGAGATGTTGGTGGGGTGGCTGTCAACGTAGTCGATAGGGTCGGGATAGCCTTCTTTCCTGTTTTTAAGGCCATAGTTGTTGTGGATGTCATCTCTCTAAGTATTTGTTTTTGTTGATGCACAATTTTAAATATATTATCCCAAATCACCATTCAGTATTTGGGTCCTGTACTTGAAAGACTATTCACGTATTTCAATTTTATATCTCACTCCACAGTCTTTTCCCCTATATCATAAATAGATATCTGCAACAATATTCTAGTCTATGTAATAAGAAAATTGGTCAGCAATAGTACATCAATTAACACTTTAAGGGCTTAATCTTAAATGTCATAAGTAGTCTAAATAATTTATAAATAGATTATATCAACAAAGTTTATCCCTTTTTACTATTAATACTTACAACAGTAAACTCTTAACTCTTTGATAATAGTGTATCCTCCTCTTCCCCCCCCCCCCCAAGTAAGTAAAATTATGTAAAGTATTTAGGAGATACAATAGGGAGGCAGGGGGGAAGATAATAAGAGAAGGGGTAGAAGAGAGATTACCACAGCTTCAGAAAATCAACAAACAAACAACAAGGAAGTCATCTTAAAGAGAAAATAGTACCCACTTAGTAAACTTAAGTAGTACCACCTAATAAAGAAAGCAAATTGGGTGAGCTAAAGTTCCATCTTCCAGCTAGAGGTTTCTTTTCAGCCTTCCAATCAGCAAATGGTGAAATGTGCTGACTAATCTGCAGTCCCAAAACCGTCTTTCCCAGCCTACTGTTCGCCTCTGCCTTCTTCCTCTTGCTGCTGCTTCTTTCTTTGCTTTCCAACTTTTAAATCCACATACAAATCTTCCAAAGTCCAATATAATGCTCAATTTATCTTCTCCCCAATATTAAGTAGATGTAATAGTCATGTTGTGCTCAGATCTGAGGATTCATAAGACTCAATCAATGTCAATATTCTTTCACCTCCATCGCCTCCCTCTTCTCAAATAGAGTCAAAAAGAAAGGTCCAAGAATCAAATAAAGCCCCTCACCAGTTCCGGACCTCCGATCTCCAGGTTTTAGCAATCTCCCTTTTTCCCCAAAGCTTCCCCTTCACAGGGTAAAACTGTGTTTTCCTTCGCTCTCCATTATAATCTTTCCATTTTCCCAATTGCTTTTCTGGCCGCTCTCCGCCCGACTTCCAAGAGGTGCTTATCACAACCAGGAGAGAAGAATTTATGCTATCATTCTTCTGTCATTCTACTCCCTTCAGACTTCAAAGAATCCAAGATATAAACCGTTTCTCTGTTCCTGTTACTCGATCTCGCAGGCTGTCACTGCTTTGCTTATTCACTCAAGTGGCAGACCGGATTGGAAGCCGCCATAAAATGACAGCTTACTCTTTAGCGCCGAGCTCGGGAGCTTCCCTCTTCACTGTCGGGGAGTTGTCTTCCCCCCTCTGCAGCTCGAGGATCTCCACGTTGACACGAACCTCTCCGGGGTTCATGTATCCCTGGGGGATCGCTCCTGACGCCAGAAAAGGTGTTCGAAGCCTGCACCAGACTTCTTCACCTCCGTTCTCCTGTCTTGCCACTCTGCTTCTCCTTTATATATTTCTAACCCAAATAGCTGTTAGGTGACTTATATTCCTAACAGAAGCGTTTATCCAAACCACATGTAAAGTAAACATAAGATTTTTACAAACTGGATTGTTGTAAAACTGGAAAGAGATAATTTATCACACTTATCACTCCATCTGCTAATTATCATGCAGGCTTTATTTTATTAAAAGTACAGTGCATTTTTGAAAATTCTTTGGAAAGCTAATTGCCCATATAATTATGAACTAATTGCTGTCCATTCCAGGGTACTTATGTAATAGCATTGACAAGGGAGGTTCTTTCTTTGTATACTGGTCTTCTCTGCCTGTGGATAAGCATTTTTTTTTTTTTGGACAAATTCAACAATAGCAAAGTGCTATGTAAATTATTAGAGATTTAACCAGCAACTATGTTAATAAATCATTATACATATTTCTAGCTTTGCTATAAAGATTGTGTCTTAGGGCCTGTTAATAATGTCTAACAAGAACAATAGGCTTTTATTACTGTATTATCTGGCATGGAACCCATTTGGAAGGTGAATGCTTTATCTCAGTGCCTATTCTGAAAACTAGTGTGGCTTAGTATACATAATCATAGTGTAAAAGTTGAAAAAGAACTGTTGTTCTAAGCTTCTGTATAAATTGACTGGAAAAACCTCTTTCAGTGCTGAGTTACTATTATGTTTAGCTATTTTCACCTTTGGGCCCAGGCTAAAAAATGAACGCATTTCTCTTTGTTGTGTCCAGTTCTTTTATGTTGAGCATTATTGAGCAATTTTGTTGACTTGCAAAATTAGGAAGTGGTAAGGTCTTAAAGCTCATGTAAACGGACCAGACTACTTCCATGCTCATTATTTACAAACTAATATATTTATTTACATACCTTGAAATTGAATTCCATTGCTCTCTTTTGGCATCCATAGCTTCAGAAATGTTACATCTATAAGTTCTCTAGAAATGTTTTAACTTATATCAACAGCTAATAAGAAGATGTTAAGGTTCATTCCATTTAAGCCATTGTTGAAGAAGCAATACATCTAAAAGAAAATAAAGAATTCAGAGGAGGAGGGGAAGAATGTAACAGTGATTGTCATCCTTGTTAAGCTAGAGATGAAATAAATCTAAGGAACATTAGTATTCTCTCTATGTTTTGCCTATGTCTATTAGTAACTTGTTATTGGTTAAATAACCTATGGTAAACCAGGATTGGAAGGAAATTTGCAATACTGCAGGGAAATTACGGTTGAAAGATGCTAACATACTGTTAAATTATTATATTCTGGTATTTTGTGTATAGAGAGGCTGGCTCAATTACATTTGTCAGGGCTCAGATTCAAGGACTCTATAAATCAATGGGAAGACAAGATCAAGCTGTATAATTCCATACAGTCATGATGTGGTGGTCAAAGGGGAAAAAATTGAATTCATATCCTTCTTTCTCACTGTTTCAAAATGTCCAGCTTTTTTAAGGCCATCATTTCAGTGTTGTATCTTAATCAGTGCAATTTCCTAATGGTGGGCTTTTCGTAATTCTGCAGGCTGTTTGCCATTCAAGTAGATGAGGACAGAAGACAGTCCCAGCGACTCCCAACAGATCAGCCTATGTCCATTAAAGGGCTTTTTGTGGGAGGAACACCACCTGAATTTCACATACCCCCAATTAAAAACATACCTGCATTTGATGGCTGTATATGGAACCTGGTTGTCAATGCTGTGTAAGTATATGTTAATATTGCTCCAGAAACATATCACTCTTAAATATTTGTGACTTCCCATATTTTACATAAAGGGAAGATTTAAAAGAACTGCTTCCAAACTTGAATCAGAATCAGAATAGAGCTGGAAGGGACCTTGGAGGTCTTCTAGTCCAGCCCTTTGCTCAAGCAGGAGATCCTATATCATTTCAGACTGTCCAGTCTCTTCATAAAACTTCAAGTGATGAAGCACCAACAACACCTGAAGGCCAGCTGTTCCACTGGTTAATTGTCCTCAGTGTTAGGGAGTTTCCCCTTAATCCCAGGTTGCATCTCTCCTTTATTACTGTCGTTTCTGCCCATTGTTTCTTGTCTTTCTTGTTTCTTTGGAAAAGAAATTGAAGAAAAAATCCTCGTCCCTGTCTATTTTCATCATCCTTTTGTTCATAGTAGCCTTGGCTGACCTCAAACAAATGTAGCTGTCAGCCATCAAAAGGATACCCATTCCTGTCCTGGGGAAAAAGAAAATTTGGCTTTCTTTTGCCTCTCAAGAAAGGGATCAGCATGTTGAAGAAGATACATCAAAACATTTCTGACTTTCCTTTTTGTCCATGATCAGTCTGGAGAGGTAATGAAAGGCTCAGGCTCTTTTTCCCATAGTGATATTCATGAGATTTGGGCTTGAATATAGCCTGTTCAATCATTCTGGGAAAATTATGTAAATTTTTCCTGAGGGCTCATATCCATAGGCAGGACTTTGGCCTCTTCTCCTAAGGATAGTTACTATCATTCAGAGTCTACTTTCTGAGGATTTCGCATCTATTTCTTCTTTTAACAGTTTTTAATTTCTTAATGTAAACTGCTCACAAGTCATCTGGAATGAAGCAGTCTCTAAATATAACAACCACAGTCATAGTATCTTAATTATCTGTATTAGTGACCTGGGATATCATAGATCTTTGGTATGAAGAAATGATTTGCTATATTTTTTTTTATCTTGCCATTACTCCAAGCACCTCAAAATAGTATTCAAGTCTCTGCATCATCTGTTTTAATATAGGAAGTTGACTAAGGTTAAGAAATAAGTCTTAGTCTGTGGTCACTCTGTGTATTTCATGGCTGTGGAGATTTAAACTCAGTCAGTAGTGTCATCTTCAGTATGGTAATAATGGAACTCTCAGCATTCTGAGTAACACATATCCACCAAAAGCAGAACTCTGAGGCAGGTAGATTCCTCAAAGAACATGTTTATTGCATACATCATATCAGCACAGCTAGTAAAAACCAACTCTAAAAGTTCCTGTGGTTTTTCCCCTAATTAAAAGAGCAAATATCCCCCCCCCCGGCATCACAGTCACATTGTCCAATGTAAGTAGCTGGGAGGTTGCTTGGTCACTCCTTTCCTCCTTCACTTGCCTCTTGTTGGGATGGCCTTGCTTCCCACAAGAAAACTTTTTGTTTTGACTGGTAGCCTGTCTGTCTCCTTACCTCATCTCTTCCCCCTTTCAAAAGTTGTGGCAACTATGAGGCAGGAAAAGATGGCTTCAGCCAGGTTTGCTTCAGAGGTGACAGCAACATTGTCACTGCACATGCTAGAACCTTTTAAAGCAAATATAACATCACCCGGGTTCCAAATAAATTAGTTACAATCCACACTGACTTGTTCATTTAACTAAGATAAAAGCATGGAAGAGATGAAATTGAGTAAGGCATTGTTTCATATTTCTGGTTTCATTGTGTTTCCATAGTCCAATGGATTTTGCCCAATCAGTAGCCTTTAAAAATGCAGATATAGGACAGTGTCCTGATTTAGGACCAGATCATGAAAAAGAGCATGAAGAACCAACTCCCCAGACAACAAGTCATCCTGAACCAGAGGAGGGAGAAAGTAAAGCAACTACAACTCCTCCTCCTCCTCCTCCTTTCCCACCTTTACCTGTAAGTATTTCTGTGATATTACTCCAGGTGTTTTTATATATATTTATGAGACTAGGATACCGCACAATTGTACTATGTGGAACATTAACACTTTTTCACATTTTTTAACTAAGCACTTCAAAACTAAGGGTGCACAGAGGGTATTATAAAAATGTAATGTTGCTTGGGAGCTTATATTAGAGGAAGGCAATAAAGGGAAGTGTATGTGTGTGTTAGATCAGCGGTCCCCAACCTTTCCAGCTTTGCAGACTGATGGGGGAGAAGGAAATGTTTCTATGTGAGCAGCAGGTGTGCACGCTCACACACACACCTACATTTGCATGAGAGGCAAGCAATCATGCTCGCTGCCACCATTCGTGCAAATGGAGCTGCGCATATGTGCTTATCAAATGCGTGCATGGCCTGGTTCTGAATGAGCTGAGGCAGAGGTGGTATTCAGCAGGTTCTGACCAGTTCTGGAGAACCGGTAGTGGAAATTTTGAGTAGTTCAGAGAACTGGCAAACACAACCTCTGACTGGAGATTTTACAGTATCCTTCCCCTGCCATGCCCACCAAGCCACGCCCACAGAACTGGTAGTAAAAAAAATTTGAATCCCACCGCTGAGCTGCGGCCCATTTGAAACCAGGCCATGGCCTGTGGGTTGGGGACCCCATGTTAGATTACATATTCCAAGGAAGAAATAAATAAGCAAGAAAAGCTGTAGAGGAAAAATTAATGGCATAATGATTATGTCAAGGGAACTAAAACATTTCAAAAAATTTATCTGAGTCACAACCAAATATGTCTCTACAATGAAAGATAACCATTAACTGCTTGTAATATTAATAGACATTAATCTGATCCAGCAAAAAATGAAGAATATTTGAGTAGAATAATATTTACAAAATTTACCAACCAACAACAACAAAAACTCTTATTCTTAAAAAAGAAACTACAAAGGAAATTTAAAAGTTAAAAAAGAATAAAAGTCCATTTCTGCAATATGTTACAAGACTTTTCAAGAAGTTTGAATAAAAAACCTATGACAACTTGGAATGGGATCTTTTTGTTGCAGCTATCAAAAAATAGACTGCATACTTAACATTTGTGTATACATGCAGAGCAACTCGGGGATGAATATAGGAAAAAAATAAGTCTACATTTTTCTCTTTTTATTTCATTATTGAATGCTAATTTTTGTATGAATCAGGGTACCTAGAAATCTGCTTAATGGAGAGAAAACAGCTTGACAGATTACAAAATTTAATTGTCAACAGGACAAATTAAGATACTTAAATCTGTTAATTATACAGCGTTCTTCTATAAGTCTCAATCTGAGTTAAAGTCTGTATGAGTAAATGGGTGCAGAATTTGAATATAGTTAATAAAGATGATTAAAGATGATTAAGAAGTTTGATATATAAATAAATAAAGATGAAACAGTAGGGATTTCAATGAAAAATTATTTATTTAATTAAATTTTTATGCTGGCCATTTCCCTTACAAGGTGACTCTGTGTAGCTTACAAGTAATATAATTTACAGAATTTTCTTTGTTGTTTATTATCTTCAATCTTTCTTTCTGCCTCCTCTTGACTCTAGTTGGATTAATCAAGTATTTTTAAAGTGTAGTAGAGATATATTTTGATTATAAAAAGGATATGAAATGGCTTATACTATTGTACATTTTTAATTTGTGCTATACTATTTTAATTATATGATATCTTAAATTTATGGATTCATTGCTCATGTTTTTAAGTTATATTGTTTTTTTTAATCTGCATTATCTATTTTTTATATTTTAAAAAAAATTGTACTCATCTCAGTACTATCTTTTATATTTTTTTAAATCCTGCCTCTATTTCATTTTTTATAATAATTCAGGGTAGCAAACGTGCACAGTACTCCTTCCTTCTATTTTTCCTCACAACAACAACAACCCTGTGAGGTATGTTAGGCAGAAAGAGAGGGAGGGAGGGAGGGAGGGAGAGAGAGAGAGAGAGAGAGAGAGACAAAGTCACCCATGCAACTTCCATGCCTAAAGTGGGACTGAAGATTAATCTGCTGGTTTCTAAGGCAGCTTCACCATTATACACATTCCAAAATATTCATGCAATGAATTAAGCCAATTCAACCCAGAAATACATTGTTACAACTTTTCCTCTGTCTTTTAAAATAATAGCATGTAGTTTATTAAAATAAATAAGAAAAGAAAGAGTCTCAGATGGCAGAAATCAAACAAAATCAAAACATGACATGCAACAGTTTGAAATAAGATTAGAAAATTGAAAAATGAAAGCACTCCCTGGGCATTTTTTGAAAGATACTGAAAGAAAAATCAGACAATAACAATGGCTTAAACATATTTTTTAAAAAAAAAAAAAAGAAGCAAAAGGAAACCTTTTTGTACTCCAAGAAGTCGTCTTATGCACAGATGATATTAGGTCAAAATAGAAATAGAAAAGAAAAGAGAAAATAGAAAAGACTCAGTTTGAGGAGTAAATCTGGTTGTGCCAGGATAAGGATGAAACGTTTGACCACATGGTAATGAGATGCAACAATATTACACAAGTTGATTACAAAAGAGAACATGTTCAGGTTAGGATGACATTACACTGGCAGATTTGGTTGACTAATACTACACTGGCAGCTCACAGTCCACAAAAACTATTTGAAACATGAAATAGGAGGGTGTTGCACATGGCAGAGCAAAACTTTTAAGAGATTTTAAAACTCTGACTGATTGACAGTCAGCATGCCAGACATTATTATCAATGAAAAAACACATTTGGTTAATTGATATAGCTATTCCAAGAGACAATAATTTTGAAGGCAGATAATTGGAAAAGACTGCAAAATAAGGTTTGCAAAAATCTGGGAATGGTTGACATTAGGGAATGGTTGACATTAGGGACTAGATGTAAGTACCACAGTGACCTGGAATTTGGACTGCTTAAATTTTGAACAAATTATAACAGCCCAACTATAAACAATAGTACAGTTGAGCACTTCATACATATTTAAATACTACATTCACTTTTCCTAAACCCTTGAGTAGGGCTTGAATCTGAAGAAGAAAACCTGCCAACTTGCCATGCTCATTGGAATTGAGATGATGATTGATGATGATAGACATTTGCCATAAGCACAAGACCTAATATAAATTATAATTTCACTATGTAAATTTCCATTATTTTAAAAGCTATTTTTATGATTATAATTTGTATTTAATATTAAGGAGTGAATTTTATATTCAGAGTTCCTTTAGATTTTCCTTTCATTATTTCCCATTATAATTCATTGTAGGTGTCTCAGATTAGATAATGACTATGAGGGTTTCCCAAGAAATGCCTTTTTTGATACTAGTTTTGATATTCTATTACTTTGAAATTTCTGCTGAAACTTCCATCACAACAGTAAATTTGGTCCTGTTGTGTTTGCGAGAAGAACATCTGTGCAATTAAAAAAAGTGGATGGAGATCAGTGACTCTATCTGCCAGGCCAGCAATTTTTTTTAGCTTCCAGTGAAATGGTTTATGTATGAACCTGTCATCTAAAGGAGAGAAAGTTGGAATCCTATTATTTAATATTTTCTCTTTTCCTATTTTCAAAAAATAGAATTAATTATAATACAGCTCAGTGTGTCAAGATCTCAACCATTACTCTCTGTCACAGTAACAAAAGTCTAGCATTTGTTTGCTATTTTCATCAGCTACTCTTATATAGAAACCACAGCGGAGAACCAGGCCAATCTCTCTCCTTGTCCAATACAATCACTGTGTCATATAAAATAGGATGCACAAGCAGAAAACCATTTATGCACAAATCTTATCTATACTTGTTCAGAAGCCTCTGGTTGTTGTTGTTGTTTTAGAAGAGACTTTGGCTGGGCTCTGAATCACACGTGTTGAATTACAGCAGGAGACTTGCTTCAGTGAAAGAAGAAAGCAAAAAACCCCAAAAATGACACGATATGTATGACAAAATATAGTGCATCCTCTTGGCAGACTTGATTTGTACATGGCATGTACCTCCAAAGCACTCTAAGTATGGTTAAGTATGGTTACTCAGATTTAATAATGTAGGGTGGTAGATATATGTGATTTTTGAATAGGCAACATAAAGCATTAATTCCCATAAAATAGCCTGATGGTAACATTTTATATATATATATACATACATATATACATATACATATACATATACATATACATATACATATACATACATACATACATACATACATACATACATACATACATATATATATATATATATATATATATATATATATATATATATAATGTTGTATTGCATTTGATTTTTAAAAGATATACTGTACCTTTGTAACATGTTGCAAATTGAGCTAAAAATTTGCATGCAAGTATTGATTTCTTGTTTTCAGATAATTTCAATATTATTTGGCTGGTGGTAGCAATGGTCACCTTACTGATATCATTATTTTACCATCTTCTATCCCAAAGGTAGCCATGTTTAACCCATTTTTAAAGAAAACTGCTATAAGCTTGGAACATGAGTTTTTAAGAGCTTTTTTCTTCTTCTTGAATATTTCCTTTGCAGCTTTGTATTAAACAAATCTCAGCCAAGCCCTGGGTAGATAGACATAATAGCTATTCAAGGTAAATAATAATAATAACAAAACTCCATTGGTAATAACTTAGCAAAAAAAAATTTAAAGCAAAGATTATTATTTTTCCAATAATAAAAGGGCAAATTGCCAATATATATTTTAATAGCTTTATTGTCAACAAAAACAGGAAGTAAACATAAAAGAAAATTGTTACAGTTCTACAGATTCACAAACACTGTGCATCAGTCGATCTGCTGGCGTGGTTCCTTCTTAAATTGTAGAAGAAAATGATTTCATAGGGTTATCAAGCTTTTTTGGAAAGTGGAACATTTGCTTTCTAAAGAAAAGGGCCCCAGCTTCTATTTTTGCTTTCATTTCATTCCATAAAGGACTCTGTTTGATGAATCAATGAATAATACTTTCATATAAGGCAGTTTTGTATGTTCAAGCTCAATAATTATTTCTGTCCCCTTCTTTGAATTGCTGGTTATTTCTATATAAGGTGCTGGCGCCTTTAGTGCCATTGATTAATTTTGTCCATGGGTCTCTTAAATAAAACATTAAATAAAATAGTTAAATATATACAGAAAGACTTTGTATTAAACTAGGACAATTTCCACCAAACTGACTAAGAAAAAAATATCAAGATATCTATAAGAGCTCATGTGATATCAGTTTGATGGTGTTGTGGAAAAGTCTTTCATAGGTTTGTTAGGAAAAGTTATTTGGTATTCTTAAACATGGGTATAAGTATGAAATACTCTTACTGTTGAAATAAAAATTGCAAACAAGTATCAAGTCATGAAAACAAGCATATAATGATACCTTTTAGACCCAAAAATGTAAATTTCATCTAAACATTAGTGGGATTTCAGCCACCTGACCTCTAAAAGGTCTTAAGAGTCACAGTGGACAGTATCACAAACATTTTAATACATTCGGCAGATGCTATTAAAATGTGAATCCCGTGCTTGGAATCATTAAGAAGGAAACAGGAAATTGAATTGTCACCATCCTAGTCTCCTTATAAGAATTGTTGATGAGACTATAATTAGTCCATAATTAGACTAACATGTAGAACTCTATGTACAGTTAGGGTCAACACAACTTGAACATAGAGCTGGAAAAGTGACCAAAAAGTTTCATCAAAGTGATTAGAGGGATGGGCAGGTTTTTTGTGCCTCTTTTTTGGCTTCCAATAATGATCAAGAGAAACATGGTGGAAATATATAAATTCATGAATGGCATAGAGAAAGTGATTTTTTCTTTCTTTCTCAGTACCAGAGCTCATCCATTGAAACCAAACAGACCTACAGAAGGAAATACTTTTTTTTTAAAGTAACACAGTTATGTAATTAAAATACTGTCAGTAGCTGGTAAGGACAGCCAATTTTGAAGTGAACCCGGACAAGTCATGGAGAATCAGAGTATTAATGGCTACTAATATGGTGCTTTCTCACTACCTGCTGAATCTGTAGGCAGCTCTGCTTAAATCCTGCTTGCTCAGAAGTGCCAGCAAAAAGAAGCTTTTGCCCCCAGCCCACACTTATGAGCTTCCCTGATGGATCCACGTGGCTACTGTGTGACACAGAACACTGGACTAGATCAGTCACGCCCTGATCCAGGAGGGCAATTATTATCTACTTTAAGTTCTAGCAGAATCTGTACAGGTGGTCCTCGACTTACAGTCACAATTGGAACAGGAGCTTCTGTCACTAAGCAGAGAGTCATACCCGATTATATGATATATAAAATGTATCACTGAAATCATTAAGTGTTCCCTGTCTTCCCATTGACTTTGCTTGTTGGAAGCCTCCTGAGATCACTAATGGCAATCATGTAATTCCAGAATGCTACAACCATTGTAAATACATGCTGGTTGCCAAGGGCAGGAACTCTACAATGGTCTTAAGTGTGAGGACTGGTCATATCACTTTTTTCTCAGCTGTCATAACTTTGAACAATCATTAAAAGAATGGCTGTAGGTGGAGGACAACTTGTATTAGCTTTTAAGATGCTGCAAAAGATTCCTTCATATCTAAAACAGTTATTCCTCTAAAACGGTTTCCTATTTGGGCATCCTGCAGCTGGGAGTTTGTCCATGTGTCCCTCATATTGGCTAATTCTATTATTTCATCTAATAACTCACCAACCTAAGAATCCACAGTATTGTAACATCAGAATCATGGATGTCAAGGATAATTATTTCTGCTTTTTTTTACTGTATTGCTTTAGAAGCTTAGTCATTTTGGCTTCATCCCATGCAGGTGCTTTTACTGCAAATGCTTCTAATATGAAACGATTTGGACTGAATTCCTTGATTTGTATTTCATTGTGTTGTACTTGATGGGCAAGCTTCATGCAGGCAAATTCAGATTTCCCCCCCCCCTTCCTGTGTACTTTGAGCAGGGCCTTTGTCTTCAGTTTAAAGGAAGAAATCGGTTTAGAAAATAATGGACAGAGTAATGAGTTTGGCGGTTTTAGACATCAGGTTGCCACAAAGGCTGACTGCTTGCTACAAACACCATTACCTAGGTACATCAACAATTGTTGCTTCTGCCTCATGATGTTTACTGCTTCTCAGGAATTGCTTGCGGCTGAAGTGAAGAGCGCCAGTAGTTCAGCTGACTTTCACCTGACGGTATCTCCTAGTGTGGCCCTGCCTTTTTGCCTCCCCTTTACTTAACAATGCTTGATGAACTGCAGTGTGGTTTCGGTGACTAAATGGCTTCCCTCTCTTCTCCTTCCATCACTGGTGATGCAGTTTTTGTGCACAAAAGTGTGAGCTGGTCTGACAGCAATTCCATTTCCATAAATACTTCTACTGAAGGCACTGGGTTCTGTTGCCCTGGAAACATCAGCTCAAGGTTTCAGCTGAAAAACTTAAACAATTCCTTAAAATGTTCCATGATGTATGTATGTGGCTATGCTGGATGAGTGGGATTTGTCCTTATCATCCAGCCACATTTCATAAATAGTACATTAAATCTCAAGTAGGCAATGACTGCATAGGGAGAATTTTCTTTATCTCCCTTGTCAGTTACCATTTGCTGAAGGACTGCTCTCACACATTTGTACCTGAGCTCTTCCAGACATTCTCTTGATTTGGCCTTCTTACTCAATAGTATCACAAAACCAGAACATTCAGCAATGCACATGTCATATTTACAGTGTTTGCTATTGTAAGCATGATGCTCGCTCAGGAAGATCTAGCAAAGCAGGGAACTGGCAAGGAATCTGGATGGGTAGGATTGCCTTGCTTGGGTCTCAGGCATCACAAATACTTTGTCTGGAAGTGCTTAAATGTTCAACTCGTTCTGTCTTTCTCCTTTAATTGTACTGGGACGGAGTAAGAAGAGTATGCTTGTTCTCATAAACCATTTTAAAACCTGTTTTTGTCCTCTGTTAAGATTTCTTTGCATGGACAAATTGTTACCAGAACATCCAGAGAACATCAAGAGAACATTATTTTAAAATATACATTTTATGGGGGGTGGGGGGTTGTATGGTTTATATTCATGGTGTCTTAAAGGTCTTTTGCAGTAAGAAATGCTTTGATTTGGATGGAGACAAATTAAATAATTAAAGAATAATTCTAACATAACTAAATATGTAAAAAAATATTTATTTTAGGAACTCAAAATCTATTCTGTCCCGAAGAATTATTGTTCTGTGATATTTTGTATCATTCTGTTAGATTTTTTCCACAGTGCATCTAATAGAAACTGAACAGAGATATTTATATTTGCCTTTTATAGCTAGCATTAAAAGGCCATTACTATAGCACAAGTATTTTATTTGCAAGGAATCCCACATATATAAAATCCTTATATTCTTTCCTTATTTTTATCATTATATTAAGGCCATACATATTCTTCTTTATTTTCTCCTTCTATTGAATTAGCAAAATTATAGTATTCAGGTAATTTTAACCATAATTATTTGGAACAACTTTTTTTTATAAAATGGAAGATCCTTGAGATTCCAGAAAAGCTATTAAAAAGCTATTTTCAATTCTTCAGGATATTATTATGATGGTGCACTCACTATGTATACATTTAGCACGAAACATTTTGTAGATTTTAAATCCACAGGTGTGCTTCTAGAAATCTCAACTTGATTGAAATATGACATTATATGCTAAAGTGATTACATATCAATTTTCTCTTTCCAACTCAGTAATTTTCTGCAGTGGTAAGTAAGATCCATACTGTATATTTGATCCATCATCTTAACAAGAGACAAAATGATTGGTGTTGGATTGCTTTATTACTGCACACTTGATCCTGCAACAGCAAATGCTGTATTATTTGTTTTATTCCAGCAGACAACATAAGTGTGTAAGTTTATTTGAACCTCATAAAAATTATGTCCAGTGTCTGGATTCACAAACCTACAATAGCAACAGCCAGCTTTTGCATAGAAGTAGTATTATGATTATAATTTCAATTCAATAGCAGTGAAAAAGTAGTGAGTTTTCAGTTGTAAATGGGATGCAACATCTATTATTGCTATAAAATGCAATTGTCGAGTGATTACTTATGCTGAATTAGAATTAGAAAATGTTTAAAAGAGGAGAAAGGAATTCATTGTTTTACAATAACAAAATGTTCTTCAGGCAAAATATTGACTGCTTTCCTTAAAAGGTATGGAAGTGGTCTTGTTCTAAATTGCTGGTGTGCACAGAAGAAAAGATTATGAGGCTGTTTTGCTTTGCTTTGTAGGAACATTGTGCTGATGATGTGGAACCCATTACCTTGGAAGGGGGCAAGCAATTTGGCCTCTCAAGAAACAGCCATATTGCAGTTGCCTTTGATGACACAAAAGTTAAGAACAAGTAAGCTAATAGTTTCCCACCATAGATTTGAGGTGGTTACTTTTTTAACCTTTCTGGAAGGCTGTGAAGACCTGGCTCTTCCCATTGGCCTAAGGCTAGGGTGTGGGGGAGGGATTAGCCAGAAGGTGAAAAGTTTAGTTAGACTGGCTCCTGGTACAAAGGGTTATTCTGTCTTCATTCATTTTTTTAATAATTGTAATGAACCATCTAGGATCACTATATGAAATAGGCAGCCTTGTAAGTTTCTTTAAATAGTAAGACCATTCTGAAATAAAGTTGAAAAGAAATTATTTTTGGTAGTAACATTTGCTAAATTGTAGATGTTTTAAAACCAGACAGCCACAATTCAAAGCATTGAAGATGGGCAAGCTTGTTTTCTTTCAAGCCTTCATAAAAGAACTCAGTTATTATACTGCCTACTTCAAAAGGATTTAATTTTAGATCTAAAAGTCACTTTCCAAATTTAAGATGGGTCTTTAAGCATACATCCCCCACCCCCCCCAAAAAAGGGGGGGAAGTGAAAGAATGGAAAAATTTGATTTAACTGATGGGTATTATTTTTCCATGATAAGAGGGTTCTTTTTTTTTTTTATCAATCCAACAGAATGTTGGAAATACATTATATAAAAAGGGTTGAGATTCTGTTTTTTAGCAGAATGACTTTTCCAAAAACAGAACTTAGGAGGATTAAATTTGGCATGGTGGGAGAGAACACGAAGGAAGGAAGGAAGGAAGGAAGGAAGGAAGGAAGGAAGGAAGGAAGGAAGGAAGGAAGGAAGGAAGGAAGGAAATTAGATTCCATGTATATTGCCCACTTTATATATGTATTAGTTCTTGTATTATAATCAATGTCATTTTGTGCATTAACAGGGTTTGGGGTTTGTGTTTGCTTTCTCTAATCAGTTTTTTTTTTCAACTGATAATGATAAGATTTGCCAGAATTATTTCATATGGATGTGCTCAGGACTCATGCATATTCTTCCAATAATTTGAAAACGAAGGTCTGACAGCTGATTCTTAAGAAGAACTGTGTTCTGTGTACCACAGAACATATAATCTTTTTTTTTTCAATCCCCAAAAGGAGATATTTTCAAATCATAAATCACATCTGTTACCAAATCCATGAATATTACATCTATATAATTTAGTAAATTTAGAAATGGAATGTGGACATCCTGGTTCTATTTCACATATAAAGAAGTTTGTGCAGTGGTGGAATTCAACTTTTTTTAACCACTGGTTCTATAGGCGTGGCTTGATGGGCGTGGTTTGCATGCCCATGCGCGCTTTGCATATGTGCGCAGAGGGTTTGATACTGACCTCCTGCAATCCTGCACTCTCACTGTGTCTTCAACAGCTGATGCACAGCAATCGGCTGTGCCGCGTGAAGCAGCTGAGGTTGAAAAGCAGGAAATAAAGGTCAGTATGGAGCTGGGACAGGTGGGCGGGCCCAGCAGCTGATCATCAGAGCGAACCAGTTCCCTCATAGATGATCCTTGGAGTTACCGGTTCAGCTGAACTGGTAAAATACCACCACTGAGTTTGTGATTGATAGTGTTAGTTGTATGAGAAAAAAAGGTAAAACAGTAATGCTTTTTTAATCTCCTCCCTTTCTGTTTCCTTCCTTTTCCAAATGTGCAGACTCACAATAGAACTTGAAATCAGAACAAAGGCTGAAAATGGGCTGCTTTTCTACATGGCTCGGATCAATCATGCTGATTTTGCCACTATCCAGATAAAAAATGGTTTTCCGTATTTCAGTTATGACCTTGGGCATGGGAACACAAGCACTATGATTCCCAACAAAATCAATGATGGCCAGTGGCACAAGGTATTATATGATGGAACAATGCATGAATACTGTAGATACATTAATCTATAGATTATCACCCTCACCCCCACCTGTGGTGAATTGTAGAAGTAATGAATAGAGTGTGCCATGTTCTTAATTACAAGGACTTCGGAAATTGTTCCTTTACAGGTAGCTTAATCTGTTTCGGGATTCAAGACTAAATTAGTACACAGAGTTTTATTCCCAAACAGAGCTTCCCCTCCTCCCCAATGCAGAATGAATGAATGAATGAATGAATGAATGAATGAATGAATGAATGAATGATAAATAGAGGTGAGTTTTATTTTTAGCAGAATAGGATGAAATTTGTCCCTAAATTATAACTGTGCAAAGGGATGGAGCATGAAAGATTCTATAAATATCCACCCAATTTAAAGCTCCCAAGGTTGAGAAACACTGAGTTAGGCAATTAGAGTCCGATTGTTAAGTAGTAATGTAACTACAAGTTGATGCATTGTAAGAGCTTAAGAGCAGCCTTTTTATGTACAGGTAGTCCTTGAATTATGACTGTAATGGAATCTGTCCATATGCTCATAAATTGTAGATTATCACAAAACAGATTAACACTGATAAGTTCTGGTTTCCATTTATTATCTGCAGATACATGAAACCTCAGATAGCAAAACAGAGGCCAACCTATAAATGTTCAATCAGAAAAAAATGCCCCTTGTTTATTTCCAATATTTATGTTGGCTGGGAAATTTAGGAAATATGGTCCTATCACATACAAAGGGCATTAGTTTATGGAAGGCTGTTGTAATTTGCAATGTCAGTCCTATGTTGGGAATAAGTTTCAGGGACTGTTGTATATTTTACTATTAAATGTCTAATCTGAGACTCAATTGAAGCTATTTATCCATTTAAATGACATAATAGTAAAATTGACATTGCATAATGTGCCCAAACATGCTTGTTAAGTCAGTATTAAGTTTCTCCATCTTCAGGTGGACATTCTCCCAAATAAGAGCACAAAATTGTGTAACGTCAGTACCTCTAACAAAGACTTTGCTTATTGTAGTATAATAATAATAATTATTAATAATAATAATAATAATAATAATAATAAGTTGCCCTTCTATATTTTTCCAGATAAAAATATTCCGAAGCAAACAGGAAGGGGTCCTGTCAGTTGACGGAACTACAAATAGGACCACTAGCCCAAAGAAAGCTGATATTTTGGATGTTGTAGGGATGCTATATGTTGGAGGATTGCCAATTAACTATATAACAAGAAGAATTGGTCCGGTAAGTAAAGAATGACTCGTTTCACATCTCTAAAGCGCTGACAAAATAGAGTTATTTGTTGTGCACAAGTGTAAAAGTAAAGTGGTATTTGGCCTTTCATTGTCTTTGAAAGAACACAGGCCTTGTTCTATGCAAATAATCTGCATTTGCCTTTCTTTGGACTGATCTGGTTTTTTTCCACACTAGCAATGCCCTTTTCATAGGAAACAATCATATCATTCAGGGAGACTAAGTTTGTCTGTCTTTGTAGGGGTAATCTAAATGTCATTGTGTTGTGTCACTGAGAAGCAGATCCTATGGTACATTTCTATATTACCAGTGGAGCTTCCCTTTGAACAGAAAACAGAACATAATAACAGAGTTTTGAAGGGACCTTGGAGGTCTCCTAGTCCAGCCCCCTATTCAAACATGAGACCCTATAGCATTTCAGACAAATGGTTGTCCAATCTCTTCTTTAAAATTTCCTGTGATGACCCAGAGTGGGATACACAAGCAACACAGTCACAAAAACAGGTGAAGTCTCTTTAATTCCTTCAACTTGGCTTTAAAGCTCCAATTATCATTGACTGGAGACAAAAAAACTCCCTCAAAAATAGTTGCAAAAAGGAAGAACTTCCATTCAAACTCAAAATACATGTAATTATAAATAGAAAAAACAACACAAACCACACTGAAGCAATTACTGAGACAAGGCAGGATAAGGGCTTGGAAGACATCCACAGATATTAAAATACACACACTGGGAAGGACGCCAAACTCAGATAAGAATAGACAGACTAGAAATATTTTCACGCTTTGTTTCCAGCACTGGCCCATGCACAGTCCGTCCTCACAGCTGCAGCCCATTGTTTCTCCCTTATCTGCTACTCCCTGCGGGCCCTAGGATGAAGAGGGAATGGGCCTGCCCATTGACTGCCCAGCCAGCCTGTGCCCTTCCCAATTTCCTCCACAACCTCCACACACTTCCACTCCCTGTCAGCTGTTCCTCCTCTCCCTCGGAGTCAGACTCCAACAGGGGCATGACATTTCCAGTGATGAAGCACCCACGATTTCTGGAGGCAAGCTCTTCTACTGATTAATTGTTCTAAGTATCAGGTATTTTTTCCTTATTTCTAGATTGGTTCTCTCCATTTCTAGATTGGTTCTCTCCAACCTAAGTATGACATAATATAATTACTGTAGCAATCCTGAAAACTGTGGGAAAAATAGTATTGTAGACGTCAACCACTGTTCATAAAAATGTATCAACAATAGTGTACTATGCATTCCTATCTGGGAGCAAGGCTTAATTCCAGGTAAGTGTGTATAGCAACCACAGGTTAATGTTTTGGATATAGAAAATTCCTGTATCCCTACATTCCAGTCTTCCTGTTATAAAATCAGCGTTCTTAGATTTAATAACAGTGTTGGGCTTTACTCAGCCCTGAAACACACTTTGAGCTAATCACTATTAACCCATCTCAATTTATTTCATAAGTTATTAGGATAACATTGGGGATGGGAAAAAGATCTGTATAAACCATCTAGAGGTCCTTCAACACAGTCAAGATTGGCTACAATAAACAGACATCCTAAGACTCTTCCAAAGAAATCAGCTGAGAATTATTAGTCATAATAATCGATGACTAATAATAATTGACTAATAATAAATAATTAGTCATTTTAATCAAAACTTAGATACCTGGTACCAGGTGTTCCATATTAATTGCTGCCTATACATTTTCATTAAACATTGTTCCTCTATCACTTATTTTTCTAATGTTCACCAAACTCTTGATTGCAACTCTTGTATTACTCTTTCAAAAACATTTTTGCATGAATAGGGATTTAACTGCTTTGAACAATATAAATCAGATAAAGCCTTATATGTATAGTCAACCAAAGCAAGACGTCAGCCACTTTAACACAAACACTACACTGAATTCATACTTTAATTTATTGCTATTCCACAGTAGCAGGTACATTTGTAGGAGAAATTGCTTAGTAACAAATTGTTCTGCTGGAGGAAGCATGACCAAACAAGAGGAAAGAGTTTATTTTATAGAAAACAGTACAAAAAAATAGAAGGGTTGGGGAACAAAAGAAAATGCTAACAGAGAAAGACAAATGGCAAATCCAAGTGAACACTAGGCAGAGCCTTTATTATGGATTACCATAGCAAGAAGAGTGGCAAAAGATTATTTTTCAGCACTTATCTATAGATTGCTGACTGATGAACCTGTTCAAGGGAACCTGGTTCTTCTTGCAGGATGATTACAAGAAACATTCACGGTACTTAATGGACATTGGACAAAGTCCTTCAAATCCTCTCTAAATTGAATTCCAGCTATGTGAATCTGATGGAGTTGATCAAAACTTGGTCTTTAAGTTATGTGAGAAGAACTTAGCCTGTGCGTTCTAAGGAACTGGCAGGATACCTGTGGCTGTAAGTGCAGTTACTTGTGTATTAGATCAGTGCCCCACCGTTTTGAATAAGGTCTCCTGAGTGACAACATACTGTGTGGTTGGATTCAAGTGGTGCATCCTTTAGTAAGGCTGTGGCTCACCCTCTGTGCATTGAAGTGGTTATCCGTCTTGTCAATAAACCATCACTGAATCTAACAGTATTGAACCATTTTCATCTGTATCCAATCTTCCCTTTTGGGGAGGAGTGTGGCTGAGAAGTTAATGAAGCATTTTACAGTCAGGTTTCAGACCTGGATGTATAGTGAGTACTGAGATGGCATAGATCATGTTGTAAACAATTTCTGACGAGATTAGGTTGGTGGTGAGGTATCCGTTCTGCTTCTCCTTAATCGGTCAGTGGTTTCTTTCAGGATTGGCTTGGGGGTTTGAGAGTGGTGAAAAGCATGGTGTTGTTCCTTCCCCAGTTCCAATCCATGTTGGCAAGTTAGACAAGTCTCGCCTAAATCTCTGCTTTATGGAGTTCCACAAGGAAAAATGTTTCCCTATTCATACTGTACATATTGTACATGAAGCTACTGATCATATCATCTGTGGGCAGGGAATTAGGGATATCATCTGGAAAGCATGATGACTCCCTATTGTATATTCCACTCCCTTGGCTGAACAAATGATGGAAGCTGTGTACATCTAGAGAGAACAAAAAGGCTCAGACTCAACTCTTAAAGGACTGGAGTTTAGGACAGATCTGGAAACTTACATTATGGAGAGGAAACTGGTGTGCAGTTTGGAAACATTGCTAAACTATTGTATTCTGTTCAGAGAATGAGTGGCAGCCACGGCTATGAGGGATTTAGGATGACTCACAATAACCAGACTCACTGAGGCCAATTCGCCACAGTCAGGTTGCCACACCAACTCGCCATGGGAGAATTCACCATAGCCAACTTGGTGCAGGACAACCTCCAGTGGGACAAAAGTTATCGAAGAAATTGTGAAATAGAATCATTAAAGAAAGTATGCAAAAGGAAGGATGAAATGAAATGTGAATGACAAAAATTAAAATAATTTGTAATTGTTTTAAATAATTAAATTGTTAAATTGTCCTGCGATGACTTGTCCCATAGTGAATTGGCAGCAGTGAATTGTCCTATAGTGAGTTGACTGTGGCGAGTTGTGCCATTCAGGGCTATGAGGGGCCTTTCATCTCATGTGCCAATTGTTCCCCTTTCTGGATTGGAAGGCCTTCCTCACTACCACTCATATCTTTGCACTTGTTGGCATTATTACCAGGGCATTCTGCTTGGGGCTGATCTTGAAGACTACTTGGAAGCTACAGCTGATCTACAGTGCAGTGGCATGAGTAGTTATGAGCCTACCTTCTTTGCATGCCTATGCAGCTGTTCTGACTCAAACCCTTTTCCAATAAAACAAACACAAACCAAAGGGAACAGAAACCTTTTAATGATTCTTACAAACCCCCGGTTAAAAGCCTGCTGCAAACTAATTAGCTTTGATAAGCATGAGCCTTGCCAAAACTGTGAGGCTGCCAAGAATAACAGATAAGGTTACCTAGAAATATGTTATAACACAAGAGTCTTCAAATACTAACTAAGATACTGCAATGCCCACGAGGCTCAAGTTTCAAAATGTCTTTGCTTCCTGCAAAGAACATCCGATTCACAGCTGGCTTTTATCTTCTTGAAGGAGGGGCCATTACCTTGCAGCCTTACTCTTGAGTCACCCGCGCTGCTGCAGCTGCTCTTTTCTGCAAGCAGCCCTGCACGCACGCGCACTTGGCACAGGCTCCTCAGGAACCTCATCACTGCTGCCAACCCCCACAATCTCTGAAGGCAGCAGTCCACTCCCTAATGGTCCTAGCCTCTCATCTGAGTCCTTGCTCTCCTCAGCCATCCACACCTGCTGCTGGCTAACCACAACAGTAGCACCGCTACTTTGTGAGCTGCTTTGGCTGTCTGTGAACTTCCAAGTACAGTTGAAGGTATTGGCTGTCACTTACAAACCCCTTCATAAAAAACAGAGCCAAAGTATTCATAATACCAATAATTTCTACTCATCTCTGAAGATTAAACATGCCATGGGTGTCCTTTATTAAACAGTGCCAACTAATGAGAATGGAATCAAGAAAGCCTCCTTTCCTGTTGCAATACCTACATTATGGAACAGAATTCACACACACACACACACACACACACACGCCAGATTATCCATGATCTGAATAGCCCTAACCCTGCTGACCTTTTCCAAGGCACTGAAGAACTATTGTTAGTTCTTCAGTCTCTTAGTTCTAAATGAATGAATGAATGAATGAATGAATGACCAATCATTGTTTATTGTCATTAACAAAAGGAAATTGACTATGCTTCGCTATATAGAGCTGAAGTGGTGCAGTGGTTAGAATGCAGTACTGCAGGCTACTTCTGCTGGCTGACTGCACTTTGATAGTTTGAATCTCACCAGGCTCAAGGTTGATTCAGCCTTCCATACTTCTAAGGTGGGTAAAATGAGGACCCAGATTGTTGGAGGGCAATAGGCTGACTCTGTAAACCACTTAGAGAGGGCTGTAAAGCACTGTGAAGCAGTATATAAGCCTAAGTGCTATTGCTATTCGTTGTTCAGAGTTTTCTTGTCACAAGTCATTGTGATTCTGATAATTAAACTTGCCTGCTCTTAGTTGATGTAGCAGTATGAACTGCTTGTCCAGGAAAGGAACCAAGATATTGGGGAGGGGAGAGCCAAATAAATAACCACTTAGAGCCTTAGTGAAAACAGTGACTCTATGTGTAGCATAGTTTACAGCTTTCCTTTATGAAAAGAATAATGTTGACTTCAGAGTCAGTGGCTCTAATATACAGTATCCCAACTTCCCCACTGCCTGTCTTCTGCTGAGGGACAGTAGATTTTTGTAGTAGTGGTGGTACTAGTGGTGGCAGTAGTAGTAGTAGTAGTAATAGTAGATTTTATTTGCAGTTGGCCTTGGGTTAATGTTACAAATTGTGGCTGATCTTTTTAATCTAAACTGAAACTACAGTTAATGGGATGGGAGATAGAGAGCCTTACCTGAACTCTGCCACAGTCCTAATCTAGATTGCCGTGTCAGTTTTTATCAAATGCATTTTTTACTTTACTATTAATTGGTAAGTACAAAATTTGTTCACAGTACTCTTACAATTCTATTTTAAAACATATGAAAGGAGGGATTCAATCTGCTTTATTTATCTTTTTACATTACATTCTTGTCTCCAAAATAATGTTCTTGAAAAACAAGATTACAGTTTGGTAAGAAAAGCATTTTAGAGATATGTTGTAACTCAAACTCCATGTTGGAGTTACAAGTGGAAAAAAAAACCAAGTGCAAATATTGACAGCCAGCAAGATTTGTCTTAGTAGAAAATGGTGATGTTGCATTAATTTTTAGTATTAACATGATCTGATCTAATAGAAGTACAAATGCTAACAACAAAGTAACTTTTGTGAAGATGAAAATATATATACTGTAAATATAAGAAATATATAAAGATAAGAAAAAGAACCATTTTGAAACACTCTAACATTTTATATTTCCAGTATATTTTGATAATCATTCTACCATTTGGGGTATTATCTTTGCTACATCTTTTAAAAAGGCAACTCAGTATCGGAAAATAAATCTATCAGAAATAAATTTTATAGAATAGTCCTGAAACTAGGCCACTCCTTCCATCAAGTTGAAAACATTAGATTAAAAAAATGATGTCAGAATAAAGTATTTTAGAAAGGCAACTAACTTTCTTAAGGATTTTTACCCTGACTCAGGTAGTCTACAGCATTGATGGATGTATACGAAACTTTCAAATGACAGAAGCTCCCATTGATCTGAATAATCCTACCTCCTCTTATAATGTTGGAAGATGCTTTGCCAATCCACAGGAAGGAACCTACTTTGCAGGGACAGGATTTGCCAAAGCAGGTAATGCCACCTCAAAATCTGCTCTTAGATGAACCCTTGAGGATCCTTGGTGCTCTCTGAGCTGGGATTCTTGCAGACGTTTCATTAGCCAAACAGGATTGTGTTACTTAGTTCAGGTAATGAGAAGTCTGCAAGAAAACAACCAAGCATAGAGAGTACCAAGAGCCCTTCATTTCAACCCTGAGTGACAAATATTCTCCTTTATTGCTACATGAACCTTTTTAAAATCCTGGTTAGGCCCTTCTGTTCTGCCATTCCGCCAAGGGAGGAATGATAACAGAGAATCACAACTGAAAAGCGTAGAACAGACACAGAAGAATAGTTTCATCTTCTGAGGCTTGTTGAATTTGAAATTTTTTAATGACAAGAATGTTGCCCTTAAGGCATAATAACATATTACAACGATGGTAATAATCATCATGTTTAATATCTACACAAGATTGTTGCAGTTCTGATTTTTAATAAGATTCAGAATAGATTAATTACAATTCTTGACACTTCAGGATGCTATTTGAAATAGCTCTCTGTATGTAGAGGTAGCAATAGATACATATCTGCCAATCTGATTAAGAAATGTGATTTTTATGCACAGTGTCAACGCCGCACTATCATTCACCAAAGCGATTTGGTGTATAAAGTAACTGTGAAATATGAATGCTGTCCTTAAGCGTACTGGTGCCTGCATCTCTGTACAGTATAGAAAAATTATCCTTGCATTATTCTTAGACTGTTTTTCCTTCCTTATTCCTTAGTTGGAGCATATAAAGTGGGACTAGACTTACAGGTGGAATTTGAATTCCGTACAACACGGACAAATGGGGTTCTATTGGGAATCAGCAGTCAAAAAATGGATGGCCTTGGCATTGAGTTGGTAGATGAAAATGTGAGTATGGAACTATTAGGAAAGAATCTAATTAAATGTTGTTTCTCAGCAGACCTAAAGAGACTCTATCAAAAGATACTGAGCCATGTTACTCATCCATTGTTCCATGTCAGTATCTTGAGCTCTGATTCCTTTTGGGTTGTCCCTGTAGCCAGTGATCTTTGCAATACAGTTGAAGTCAGAGCTACAGGCTAGCAAACTATATTCTACAAATTTAAATTGGGGGAGCGAGGCAGGTTTCATAACATTTCCCCAGTTAAAGTATTATTATGAACCTAATCTGCATTTGTTAGAACAGTCTTGTGAAAATCCCTTCTAATTAAACTTCTGTTTCCCTTTCCAAAATCTCATTTTGGTTCTGCTAAATTCTTTCTAAAATAAATGCTGCTTGAATACAAATAGCCAGCTTGTACAAACATTGAAATAATCAAGCCCTATTGCTGTAGCACTGTTGTGGGTCTATTATCCATTTTAGATTTTGGCAGCAATCAGTTGACAAACAGTATGATCCATAATTTGTGCTTTCTCGCCAAAATTGCTTCTCAGTTATAAATTAATTTCAAGTGGATCCTTGAATTCAGAATATTCATTTGCAGTGGTTAAGAATTTAATCGCAGCTTTTGCTGAAAAGGATAATTAAGTCTCAATATGTTGAATGGGAAAGCCAGGCCTACACATTGTATAACGATCTCTTCCAAGTTATGTGGATAAGTTGTTTGACTTAATTTAAATTGCCTGTTTGTGTGTTTGTTTGTTTGTTTGTTTGTTTGTTTGTTTGTATAATTTCTCACATAGGTTATGTTCCATGTTGATAATGGTGCTGGTCGGTTTTCGGCCATTTATGAAACTCCTATACCAGGGAGTTTGTGTGATGGGCGGTGGCACAGAGTTGTGGCACACAAGATAAAGCATCGTTTAACGCTGACAGTGGATGATCAGCATGTGGAAGGGATCAGTCCTAATGCAGCTTCGACTTCAGCAGAGACAAACGATCCTGTCTTCGTTGGAGGATATCCTGGTGAGTAGATAAACCAGGCCAATGCTACAGTTGCTATCCTTCATTATTGTTTAATTTGTTACTTTTATTACAGCCACCAAACCCCAAGGGAATCCATTTATGGAACTCTATTAAGTGTTTCATAAAGTAAAATTTTTGAAACCAAGAAATTATACAAATGCACGCGGTCTGGATTGAGCCTGGTGGTGTTAAATAAACAACAGTAACTGCAGTGCATGTTGAAAATGCAGTGTTCTCAATCACCGGGGCATGGGAGTTTATTTTTAAGCATTTCTGTTCCAAATTCAACTTTTGAACTGTGTTTTGCATCTAAGGTTCCCATTTATTTGCCTGGTTATTTGTTTACTCATTTTGCATTCCATCTGTTTGCTCAGATTGAACAGAAAAGTTATTACACATCATTATCACCTCAATTCGGGTGCCTTGGATGGGACTAAAATCATAATATGTTGTGATAAGTGGTGATTGTTCCCTGGCATAGCAAAATTTAGTAAAAAGCTGAACAACTTGTGCCTGTGCACAGATAAATTCCTTATGTATCCAATCATATTTGGCCAATAAGGGTTCTCTTCTTTTCTCTCTTCTCTCTTCTCTTCTCTCCTTTCCCCTTCCATTCCATATTCTGCTCTATTCTATTCTTTTTTCTATTCTATTTTTTCTACTCTATTCTTTTTTCTATTATTCTATTCTATTTTGAATTTTTAGGGATAAGGTACAATCTGAAAGCATGGTTTTATGTTATTGAGTTATTAAAAATATTTTTAATTGCAGTAATGCTAAGTTTCATTATTCTGTGACAATTGTCTCTGTACCATATATCTACAAATGACATCTATGCATATGAGTTCACACAATACGTAACAAACACATTTGGTACCAGTTTACACTGTTATCTACTTACAGAAAAAGATTTCTTTAAAAAACAAACAAATCTCAAGACCTGAAAGATCCTACTTTCTTTTCTTTATCTCTTCCCTCCCAGATGGATTGAAGCAGTTTGGCCTGACCACTAACATTCGATTCAAAGGCTGCATTAGGTCTCTGAAACTCATCAAAGGGGCAGCTAAACCACTGGAGATTAACTTCAGCAAGGCCTTGGAAATAAAGGGAGTGCAACCTCTGTCCTGCCCAGGGAATTAAAGAGAAAAACCATCAAATTGCAATAGGAGTCCGAGCAGTAACGCTAACAAAAAGATTCTTTTACAAATATGCCTGTGATATATTCCAATGCTACTGTTTCAGGGTGTACTTCTAAAAGCAATATAAAACAAGGGGGGGGGGGGAGGAAATCCCTTAAAATGAATAAAGCAGCAAGTTACACATGTGTGATGTGTTGATTTTTTTCCCCCTTATTTTGCAGCAAAATGGGATATTATAGAATGAAATTGTACCATGCCAGTTTGTGTTGGTAGCTGTGTGCAATTTTGAGCCTCACCTTTTAGCCTTAGTTGGTTTCAGTGGCCTTGTGCAGGATTTTCTTTGCAGCTTTGGATAGCACTACCAGGTTTTCTTTGTTTTTCTCCCCACATCTTTGAGCAGGATGTGGCTAGCAATGCAATTTCATGTTTCATCCTATAGTGTCTTTGGTGCTAGGATGAAACATAGTGAAAATAGTTACATCATCACTAATACTTTATGAGCTTCTATGAAAGCAATAGCACTTAGACTTATATACCACTTTATAGTGCTTTACAGCCCTCTCAAAACAGTTTACAGAGTCAGCCTATTGCCCCACAACAGTTTGGGTCCTCATTTTACCCACCTCGGAATGATGAAAGGCTGAGTCAACTTTGAGCCTAGTGAGATTCGATCTGCCAAATTGCAGTAGGAGTAGCTTGCAGTACTGCTGCGCCACCGAGCTCCTTATGATGTGTAAGAATGAACATATCATCCACATATAGTTAAAAGTCTGTAGAGATTCTCAGTCATCCAGGTCATGGTTGTCCCAAAGGTGCTTTTTCAGGAGGCAACTGGACTTTTTGGGTTCTTCTTCAGCTCTGACAGGATAGTGGGGAATGGAAGAGATTATATTCTTTCCAGCAGCTGGTAATTTGCATCCTTTTAGAATATAAATCCTTCTATTCCCCATGATATAAATCCTTCTATTCAGTCAGAGCTGAAGAAGCAAAATGTCTTCAAAGGAAAAAAAAACCTGAAAGTCCAGTTGCCTCTTGAAAAAGCACTTTGGGGATATAAATATAGTGTTTGCTTTTTATGGGAAGGACTAAGATATTTCAATTAAAGGGAAGAGCAGTGAGAATCCCGAAAGAGTTAGATGCATTCAAGATTCACTTGCCAAAAAAAAAAGACATTTTATGAGCACATTATGTATTGTGTTTATACACAATAAATATTCATGCTGCATTTGTGCCTGAAGCTCCTGGAGCTTTGTACAAATAGTTCATTTAGTCACCATTCAGAGTTTTACAGCAGCACTGAAAAAAGTGACTCAGGACTGTTCTTCACACTTATGACTGTGGTAGCATCCCCATAGTCACATGATCAAAATTTAGATGCTTGGCAACTGGTTCATATTTATGATGGTTGCAGTGTCCCGGGGGTCATGTGATCACCTTTTGTGACCTTCTCACAAGCAAAGTCAATGGAGAAGCCAGATTCACTTAACAATCATGTTAGTACCTTAACAACTACAGGGATTCAGTTAACAACTGCAGCAAGGGTGGGATTCAACCGGTGTTACTACTGGTTCGGTAATTACATTTTGTGTGCTTCTGTGTCTGCTTCTCTTCAGAGCTACCGGTTCTATAGAGCCGGGCAGAACAAGTAGCATCCCACCCCTGAACTGCAGCAACAAAGGTCCTAAAATGGGGCAAAATTCACTTTAAACAGGTCTCACTTATCAACAGAAATTTTGGTCTCAATCATGGTCATAAGTCAAGGACTACCTGTATTGGAGACTTGTGTGTAAGTTACATTTCGGGTACTATATAGGAGAATGTGGGATACTGAGGCACTTTTAATTCTGCTACTCCTGTTTTTAGCATCATGTCAGAAACGTCTCCCTTCAAACTGGAGATACTTAAACATCTCCTTTGAATATTGATTTTAATTTACATATTAAATCATCAAATTGTATAGATGTTTTGCAGCATACAAGAGCTGCATAAAGCCCTGAAACCGTAATAAAACATCTCCACCCTCAAAGAAAGATTAAAGGCGAAGAGTTCAAGTGGCTGATTTGAACTGCTGTTCCAAATCAACAGGCAAAGAGCTCTTAAGCATTTCAAATCTATATTATTAAAGCTTTTGAATGTTAATGCCCATGCAGTTCGTTAGTATTTTCTATATGTTTATATAATATATATATTTTTCCATAATATAAAGGGCTGCCTTTTCTTGGAGAAATAGTGATGGCAGCGTTCTCTGCCTAATCAAATGTTTAATATAAATATCAAATGAACATTGGACTTAATACCTAATATAATGTTTCGACAGCAACAGAATGCTATGTGTTTCTTTTTAAAAAATATTTAAAATGTGGCATGATCATATTTTTCCTCCAATGGACTACTATATGATATCAGTGAAAACAGAAAAAATAATAACCGTGCCTACTATACAATGTGTTAAGTATTTTGCTCTATACATCTTTATTTTAAATGAATAGTTTTGCTCTTCTTTAAAACAATTTTGGAGCAAGCGTGCTACCTGGACCCTCTCTGAAATTTGATGATCAATCTGAAAAGAATAAAAATGCAATAATTGGTTAGAAATCCACAGCTTATTTCCGGGACTGCAAAAAGCTGCCCAGAAGTAAACTGTATGTTTCAAATGTCTTGCCTTGCTTGAAAGCATCTCTGGTAAGTCTCAGGTAGCATCACTGACTCAGCAAGGTCAGTTCTTAGCCATGAAAGCTGGCCAGTCACTCTGTCTTAGCACAGCCCACCTCACAGGGTCATTGTGGGGATAATAGGAGGCAAAGTATTAATTAACTTTGCTAAGATAGATGATAGATATAGATAGATAGATAGATAGATAGATAGATAGATAGATAGATAGATAGATAGATAGATAGATAGTTTTTTTCAGATTGCAAGAATTCATCCTTCTCATTTCCTATAGTTACCTCATCATTCCTTCAGAGATGGAAATGGCCATTCAATCTTCCCCAAAGAGCACATATAAAGATGGAGAAGAAATGGAGACAGTTCTATCAGTAGAAACCCAGTAGAGTTCTGTGATGACCTGGGGCATGGCACAAAGGCAACACAGCCACATAAATAAGAAGAGTTCCTTTAATACCTCCAATTTTGCTCCTAATGTCCAGGTTATCTTCGGCTGGAGAAAAAAATTCTTCCAAGAACAGTCTTTAAGTGGAGGAAATTCAGTCCAAAAACAAAGTACATACAAATAAAAATCCATACAAACCACGCTGCAGTAATTAACTTGACAAGGCAGGAGAAGGTATCACAGACTTGAAAGGCCAGCAAAACACACACAGTTGGGAAGATGCCAGGAACCCAGATAAGCCTTGACAATACCAGATAATTTACAATTTGCTCTCAACAGAGCAACTCCCCTTTTTAAACACTGTTCCCAGCTGCAGCTAATGAAGGGAATCAGAGCCCTTTCCTCCCCTGTAAGCCACACAACTCACGTTGCTCCCTTCTCTGTTCCTCCCTGCATGCCCTAGAATGAAGAGGGGGTGGGCCTGGGTCTTCCTCCAAATTCCCTCTGCCTTGCTCTACCTCTCTCCTGCTCTGCCCAGCCGGACTTTGCCCTTCCCCAGTTTCTTCCACAGCCAACGGAGCCACACTCCCACTCGGAATCAGATTCTGACAGGGGCATGACAAGTTCACTCAATGACTTTTCTTCATATTTAAGCTACAGGAAGGCTTAGAGGAACATTGTCCAGGGGGTCAGGATTGGTCAGACACGACTTCACAACTAACAACAACAACAACAACCTCACACTAATCGACTTCCAATTCAGCAAGTTGCCCAACTCCACAAGTACCAGCTGATTAAATAATTGTTGCTTTCCTGCAACAGAGCCATTATCTGCAAATCTCAGTGCTGTCTGGCAGTGCAGAACATGGCTACAAACTCTCAAGATACTTATCCAACTCAAGATCAGTTGCTGGCTAAAGCTCGTATGACAACAGCACAGTGGGATAAAGTTATTTCAGCAAACAGAGTACCCAAATCTCATTTTCTACTCTAATGGAATGGAACTAGAACAGATTGTTAAATTTAAATAGCCTTGTTAGTACTTAGGTTAAGTCAGCCGTGGCCAGTTTTAAAGATCCGTGCCACCCTGTCACTTCCTGCTTATATGGGAAGTGATAAAAACTCTGAAACACTTGTACCAGCACGTGCTTTATGACAGTCCTGCTCACTAGCTGGCTTATTGCTTGCAGAGGATCATTGATTTGTCATGCTGGAACAATCACTTTAAAACAAATACCTCTTCACTTGACAAGAAAATATTAAAGTGACTTCAATAAGTGGGCACTGTAAAGCAGATGGAAATCCACTCTTGTGATTTAAAAAAAGTTGTTTTAACTGTGAACAGCTTAATTATATATTTTCATTTTTTTTAAAAGAAAAACTATTTTAACTGTTAATTTCAAAAGACATTTGACCTTCACATATTTTCTTAGACTTAGAATAACTTTATTGTCACTTTAAATGTATACTAAATGGCATACATTAAAATGAAATGTTGTTGTATACAGCTCTCACCACCTCCAATATACCCTACACAAACATGACAAAAAAAATATTTGCTTATCCGCACATCCCCACATATTTTCTATGACACAGAGAAACAACACAGTCTAGTTTGGATATATACATATACATGGTGAGAAAAAGAAATCTTGCAAGTGTACCAGACGGTAAATGTACACTAATCAACATACATTAAAATGAAATTTCATTGCATACAGCTCTCAAAGGGTCACCACCTGCAATATACACTACATAGACATGACAAAAAATGTTTTTCATATATACCCACCTATATTCTATGACACAGAGAAACAACAGTCTAGTTTGGATGTATACATGTACATGGCAAGAAAAACAAATCTTGTGAGTTTACCAGACGGAATGGTATAGGGAACAAAGCTGTTACAGAATCTGGGAGTCCTGCTAGAAATACTTGGAGCAACAAAAATTGGTGTGTGGGATCTGTTAATTAGACCACATGTGACTTAACATCCTTCACATGTCAGTATTCAGTTTTGATGATAAACAAGACCTAATCCTTCAAACCAATAAATCAAGATCCATCTATTTTTCAACAAACATTTCAAAGCATGACTTCTAAAGGGATGGATAAAATGTATGTACAGCACAAGATCTAAGCCCTACCAAGCAGTTTTATTTTCTCTTAGGTAGACAGCATTCAAGTGAAATATCAGCATTATAGAGTTGCAGAAACTATTACTGGACATCTGGTACTTCTTCCTGCTTTGGTACAAAATATCCCCACCATGAAATTGTCCAACTTCTAAGAGACCGTAAGAGACCATCTACTACCATTTCAAGTTAATACATAGCCTTCTCTTTTCCAAGATTGTCACATGACGGCATCCTTTAAAGAAAACATACTTTTCCTTCAAACTTCCTTCAAAGAACTTGGGCTCCATCTTACCATCTTATTTTTCTATTAGACACTACTCCCCTTTGAATCTATCTTTGTTTCTAACTCTTAAATATTTGGGGTCCAGACCTGGACACCAGACTGCAGATAAACTCAGGAAATGGAAAATAAAAGTGAGGTGTCCTTTCATGAGACTGTGTTTCAACTCATGTATCCAAATATCACATTATTTTAACAGACATCGCCCACTGATTATTTTTATTCAACTTAAAACAGACTACAATTGTCATGCTAGCTATTATGTATTAAGTGTCATGATATATTAATAATCTTTGCTTACCAATGGATTAATTATTGTATAATCTAAAGGCATTACATTGCATTTGTTATTTAAGGCAGCAATTTCCAATCCCAATTCAACAGGCAGTTCAAAGTTCAAACCTTTATTGTCAATGTGCAACTTGTGTACAATGAAACTGAATGAGCCTCCCTTGCAGTGGTGGGATTATTATTTTTTTTACTACCAGTTCTGTGGGCATGGCTTAGTGGGTGTGGCTTGGTGGGCATGGCAGGGGAAGGATAATGCAAAATCTCCATTCCTTTTCCACTCCTGGGGGAAGGTTACCGCCGGTTCTCTGAACTACTCAAAATTTCCACTACCGGTTCTCCAGAACTGGTCAGAACCTGTTGAACACCACCTCTGCTCCCTTGGTGCAGCCCACCCAAGAAAACCCAAGAACATTTATTTATCTCAATAAATCAATGAATAAAAAAAGAAATCCCTAACCCCAAATAAGCAATAAACTAGCACATGTATATATATATAATATCACACCGGTATATACACTGGCACTGTAAGTCTATCACATTAAGCCTGATTGTGGTGTTATGTTGTGTTTAGTAGTCTGATGGCCCATGGATAAAAGCTATTTTTCATCCTATTTGTCCGACTGCCTGTGCAGTCCTGCCTGATGGTAGGAGAATAAAGAAATGCTGTCCAGGATGTGAGTCATCCCTTAGGATTTTCCTCCCTCTGCTCAGACAGCAGGACCTGGCAATTTCATCCAGTGCGGTTAGGGGGCAGCCCATGATTATTATTATTTTTTCATTATCCTACCTGGGATTATCCTATCTGGGATTTCCAAAAGCCCCATTTCGTTGGGAGACAGAAGATTGGGGAAGACAGTCTTAATATATTCGTGCCTATAGTATAAATTGCTTAACTCAAGTGGTTTGTAAGATGAATGTAAAACCAACATGGTCAGGAATGTTTACTTACATTGATTATACTCTCCTCTTCGAAATGAAGAATGAACAGACATTGACTTGATCTGCACACAAAAACTTAAAAGCAATTTAAACACTGCTTATGGAAATATTCCTTACCTAAGAGAAAGAAGTTGTTTTAACAAGTGTGACCCACACCTGATATGGAAAAGATAAATGAGCACCATTAAAGTCTTGTTAGGGAACTAATTTGTGGAGCATCTGGGAGTGATTACAAGGCTGTGACAAAATTAATGCTTAGTCTTTACAAAATGTGTTTTATCTTCAAAACACTTCTTCCATGCTAATTAATTCACTTCACTAAATACAAATATCAGCAGACACACATGTGAAGATTTTGATATTTTCACTTTAGGCATAACTGATGAAAGGATGGGTTCCTGGCACTATTATTCAAATGACATTGTGGGCTTAATCTGTCTTTCCTTTTTAAGGGATTTTTGCTGCTAAGAAAAACAGTGGATGCCCTCACAGGAAAAATAGAGCAGATTTAGAAATGAAAAGAATTGTTGAATCCCAGAAAATTCTAGGAACAAGGCCAGATTATAACACACACATAAAAACACCAACTTCTGAGGGGTCCTTGGTATTCTCCGAGCTTGGTTGTTTTCTTGCAGTTATTTCATTGTGCAAAAAAAAAACATCAACAAAGCAAAAAGGGAACAAAAGAAAAATGGTTACACTAAATATTTTCAGAACACAAGACATCAGCCTTCCTCTTATGTAAACCTCAAAAAAAGAAAAGAAAAATGAGAAGTAGCCTCTCTAGTGATGTGTCTATCCTGTGGGCCAGTCTGAAAATTAAGTTGTGGCTTTTTTCATGGTACAAAATTCTCAACTTCTTGAGATCACACTATCACAAAATATTTTTATGTAGCCTTCTAGGAACTCGGAACGTGGGCAGCATGAAAAGAAGTGGATGCAATCTAATTAAAATGTAATTCATCAAATAGTATTGTTCTTGTATTTAATCATTTTCTGCTTTGATTGTATTAACAATTATTATCTGACACCACCACAAAAATTAGTGCAGGAGCGGCACCAACAGCTCTGGAATAGCTGGGTGGAACAACTGTGAAGCTCTCTTTTATACCATTTCTCCAAAACTGCTTTGGAGTGGGGGTCTCCAACCTTGGCAACTTTAAGACTTGTGGACTTCAACTCCCAGAGTTCCTCAGCCAGGATGAACTTTGGGAGCTGAAGTCCACAAGTCTTAAAGTTGCCAAGGTTGGAGACCCCTGCTTTGGAGGAACAAAATGGACACCTGAGCTAATGCATTAGGAGAAGCTAATCAAAAATTCAAAACACCTAGTATCAGGTAAACAAAAGTCCATCAAACTGCATTTCTTTACAATATTTGCTATGACATTAGGAAGAGCTCATTGGTTTCCTTCAGCTACATTTTTCTTATTTTCCAAAGATGGACAGAAAGGGTAATGTAGGCTGTGGCCTTATGCAGCAACAAATTAGAACAGCTGCTCATTGGATTTCATTTAAAAAAACAATTTGTAATCATCACAGAGCAAATAACAGCTTTCCCTATTGCAAGAAATTATTTCAGAAGAATTGCTTTGCAGATCCCACAAAGAGATGGGAGTATTAACTTTGTGTGACATCATTTCCTTGATATCGAATGTGCTTTTGCTTCTGTTTCCATTTTGCTGGTGTTATTCCTTTGCCTAAATAAGCATTTCTTGTAATTTCCATGGACTTAATTTAAAAGGCTGAAAGAGGAACTACTGTCCCTTCAAGGCAACTAGGTAATTACAAGGAACCCACACTAGAAATGGTGAATAGACTGGAGCAACTACCATACATTTTATTATTGTAATTCTAAATTGCTGCTTTGCAGTTTCCTATCAGCGAGTCCCTTCAATCTATATTGTTTTAAGAACATGACTGGAGTAATGCCAGTTGATGTGGAAAAGTAATTATTTTATACACAGTATATATTACTGTTTTCACAGCTCTTATTAAGATTGAAAATCCAGAGCAGCAGAAGGATAAAGTTGGCTTCTTTCCCTTCACCTGGACTGAAATATATTTGATGTGGAACAGTGACTACTGTATATTTATTAATGTCGTTATTTCTAAGTGCTGATATAAAGCCTTCAAACTGGAGCGCTTGTTCTCCAAACAGGTCTTGGATTCAAAGTCCTTTCTGAAGTCCTGGAGAGCCATTCCTCATTAGTATGCTTACACCACTAGATGGAATCAAGCTCCATAGAACTTCGTTCTTGCAAGATGATACAAACACACCGCATTGGAAAGCCCTTCACCCAACTGGTTTTTTAGATCTGCTTACTCTGAAGACATTTTGTGCAGATTCTCTTTCAGGTTTCAGATGCTACTTGACCATCTGTGACCACCAATATGAGGCACCCCAATTGTCTTGCTGAATGGCTTGTGCCTCTTCATATACTTCTATACAAAAGGGTAACTTTATTTTTAAACCTGTAGAGTCTTTATAACCAGTGGGAGGTTGTCCTTTCTGGTCATCCTAAGGCACTCCCATCTGCTTCAGTTGCTTTAGTTTTAGGCCACAATTTCAATTAAATGATTTTAATTTAAGAATGCTCACCAAGCTTTTTCCTACTCATTTTAATACAAGCTGAGGGAGGTACTCAGGTTAACCAATTAAAATGTGCTTACACCTTCTACAAAGTTTTGCAATTAAAATTAAATAAAAGGTTTTCTTAAAAATCTATTTTCTGAACTAATGCCACTTGTAATTTTTTTTCCAACAAGCAACTGAATTTCAATGTATAACTTCTAGCTATCAGGCTACATAAATTGCAAAAGTTGCACTTCACAAATGCTTTTCTCCAATTAGGAACGCCTTAGAAAATCCTCCGTTTTCCCCCATTCCAGTAGTGGGATTCAGCCGGTTCACACCAGTTCAGACAAACCGGTTGCTAAATTACACCATCACCCCATGCTATCAAAGTTTGATCCTGGGCGCTGCATTGCGCTGCAATGGAGAAA